ACCACCCCCACTCCTCTCCCAGCGATCCTAACCGTTCCTGAAACAATCCACCCACGCTCTTTCCCACCCATATCTGACCCATTCACCCATTCTAACTCAATCCTCTGCTGCTTGATGTTGACCTAATTGTGCTTGCGGGGGGGAAAGGGGAGGGGAAAGGAGGGGAGGTGGGGGGGGGGGTAATCTTCCGTGCTTTGGTCTGGCTTCTCAACATAAGTGTTAAGTTGGATTGCTCTCAAGTTTTGAAAACACTCACCCAACTGTGAGTACCTTAAAGTAACGAGTGGCTTTCTCCTTATAGTCCCCCCCCCCTTCTCCCCTTCAGCTCAGAATACTCTAAACTCACACCCAGCTCATAATACTCTGAACATAAACACCCAGCTCATAATACTCTAAACTCACACCCAGCTCATAATACCCTAAACTCACACCCAGCTCATAATACTCTGAACATAAACACCCAGCTCATAATACTCTAAACTCACACCCAGCTCATAATACCCTAAACTCACACCCAGCTCATAATACTCTGAACTCACACCCAGCTCATAATACTCTAAACTCACACCCAGCTCATAATACTCTGAACATAAACACCTAGCTCAGAATACTCTAAACTCACACCCAGCTCATAATACCCTAAACTCACACCCAGCTCATAATACCCTAAACTCACACCCAGCTCATAATACCCTAAACTCACACCCAGCTCATAATACCCTAAACTCACACCCAGCTCATAATACCCTAAACTCACACCCAGCTCATAATACTCTGAACATAAACACCCAGCTCATAATACTCTAAACTCACACCCAGCTCATAATACTCTAAACTCACACCCAGCTCATAATACTCTGAACATAAACACCCAGCTCATAATACTCTAAACTCACACCCAGCTCATAATACTCTAAACTCACACCCAGCTCATAATACCCTAAACTCACACCCAGCTCATAATACCCTAAACTCACACCCAGCTCATAATACTCTAAACTCACACCCAGCTCATAATACCCTAAACTCACACCCAGCTCATAATACTCTGAACATAAACACCCAGCTCATAATACTCTAAACTCACACCCAGCTCATAATACTCTGAACATAAACACCCAGCTCATAATACTCTAAACTCACACCCAGCTCATAATACTCTGAACATAAACACCCAGCTCATAATACTCTAAACTCACACCCAGCTCATAATACTCTAAACTCACACCCAGCTCAGAATACTCTAAACTCACACCCAGCTCATAATACCCTAAACTCACACCCAGCTCATAATACCCTAAACTCACACCCAGCTCATAATACTCTAAACTCACACCCAGCTCATAATACTCTAAACTCACACCCAGCTCATAATACTCTGAACATAAACACCCAGCTCATAATACTCTAAACTCACACCCAGCTCATAATACCCTAAACACAGACACCCAACTCCAAGTCGTCATGACAAAAGCAAACATACGAGGGGGCCAATTTGTGGCTAATAATTACGTGATTTATAAATAAACGCAACAAAAAGATCACTCCGCTGTTATAACGGAGGAAGGGTTACCAGATGAACAGTAATTACGGAACAGCGGCTTACAAGCAGACTCCTAATTACCAAGCGAACAAAATTAGTATCGAGGATGGAGCGAGCAGTTAGCGAACTACCTCCCAACACCCACCATCCACCACCCATTCCTCAGAGGTCCTAGCCATTAACCTCTTGATAGAGAGATTCAGTTCCCCCATCCCTCTCGCTCCTCCAAGTACCAAGGATCGAGGCTAGGCTCAGGGATAGGTGGATACCCGACAGTCATCGTAGCGGGGCTCGGTGACCTTTGTTTAGGATTTTACGGGTCCCATGTTAATAATTTAATAATGTTATTGATGATGGACTTTTTTTTCATTAGAAAGATAAATTCAGGGCCTTTGTTGCCGGCGCGTTTGGCTACCGGCACTAAGTTACACCAGTGAGAGACCCTCCTGTCGGCCTGCCTGCCTGCCATAACCTGCCTGCCATAACCTGCCTGCCATAACGGGCTCGTTGCCAGCTCCAGGCCACTCTAGTCGGGCCAATCTCGGCCCTTGTTACTGCTCGGCTGTTGTTCATACCGCTGCTGTTGTGGCAACGTAGCTAGCATGGCTGTAGTGGCAACGTAGCTAGTGCTAGCATGGCTGTTGTGGCAACGCGGCTAATACCTTTAATCTATGTTGGTGTTGTATATGCTGTTACTTTTGTGGTTGGAGATATTGCTGTTTAAGCTCTGCATACTGCTGTTGTGGCTGCCTTTTATGTCAATGTTCTGTTGCGTCTTGCTCGCTGCACCACGCACATGTTGTAGGTCTTGCTAATGCCTGTGTTGCTATTATCGTTCTCAATTACAGGTGTTTACATGTGTTAGTCCCCCAGGCAGCCAGTAACTTGCCTTTTGCTGCGCCCGTTGCTGCTCTTCTGCCTGCTTGACACCCGTTATGGCCACTGTGACCGAGCCTGTTATTAGTACCGTCATTTTTGTGGCTGTTGGAACTGTTCCTAGCTGCCCGATATTTTAGCGGCGTTAGTGTAATTCTCCTAAATTTCTGTTTACAATTTCTGTCCATAAATTATATATTTCCCCGTAACTAAAGGGATTATTTACGTCACGTCACAGCCGCCAGCACTAATCCAACGTGACATTTACGGTCCGTATTAAGAGTTCTTATGTATCCTGGAGTCCTTTCTCTCCACCTGCAACCTATTCTAATTTTATTATGACTAAAATTAACATATTGAGTTATTCCGTTGATGGCAGCCGAGAAATAGGGGCCCCACAATTATAACTCAATTAACCAAAAAAACAGCGAAGTATACCTCCCATAGAGCAGGTTAATTGACTCGCGTATAGTTTGGAGGTTTGCAAAACGGGGGATTCGCCGTTGTGTGTGTAAATACACCCGCTGGTAAACTTGACGTGATTGGCAGCGTGGATCTCCCGGAGTGACGGCCCATTGGTTTGAGCGTGACCAGTGACGCTTACCATTACGGCGAATATGGTTTCGTTTTCATGTCGAGTTTTGACGTTAGACGGCCAGTGACCGGAGTACTGGGTAAAGATGGGTGTGGGGGGTGTACTGGAGGTACTGGGGAAGATGATGATGATTGGTTGATGAATATTAAGCCATCCAAAAGGTGGCACGGGCATGAATAGCCCGTAAGTGGTGCCTGTTTTCTACTGTTTCTCCGTTGCTGCTGTTTTCTACTGTTCCTCCATGGCTGCTGTTCACTACTGTTTCTGTCCGACGTCAGTTCTCATGTATATTGTACTTCTTGAAGAACTAGATCAACGTGCAGCTCAGAAAAAACGTAATATTTTCTTTCCAAAGTCAAGCATTTATTGCGACTAATGTCTGTGTTTTTTCCCCTCTCTAAGAAATGTCTCATAGCAAACCTTCAAATAATTTGTCTACATTGGTGGCCGCTCCAAATGTTATCAGGTGTAACTAATTGTTTCCGTCGAGACATGTGTCGTGTGTCGTAAGATTAAGCGTGTAACTTCCCAGACGTTTCGTTACCTTAAGAAAGTTGCAGTAAAGGGGGGGACTTTATTGCAAATTTATTCCTGATGATCAATCTTAGTGAATTCTTGAGCGCTTGTGTGACTATATATACGTCTGTAACATTGCTCTAGCGTATAGTATATATGCTCTACAGAGGATTATAAAGAAGAGTATTTATTTACTTATAGAGTAAATCATGAAGATTTTTTTAAAGGTTTTCACTGTTTATCTGATGATGTGTGCACTCAAAGCCGACACTCGCGTGACAGTGGGAGATATCCTTCACTCAGCACAAGAAGTTCAGCGACGGGCAACTGGAAGCACACGAAATTACACTACTAATTCATCGTTGCTATCGCTCTTGGAGCCTCGAGCGATGTTCTTTCCATCTCGTACTCTCTCTCTCTCTCTGTCCTCACACTCTCTCCTTCCTCTCATTCCAAGTGTATACGAATGTGTGTATAGTGAAGGATAATGCATGGTGCAGTGAGTGTACAGTGAAGAATAGTGGGTTTATAGAGACCTATGCAGGCGATGAGTCACATTCTCAATCGACTTGAGAATGGTCCAGGATGGACCGAAACATCGTCGTCCCTTCACCTTCTAGTGTGTGGTCTGGGCAAATTATAGAGATCTATGGTGTGACTAGTGAATTATAGTGTGTATATAGTGCAGTATAATATGCGCAATCAGTATAGTGAAGTATAATGTGTGTGTGTAGTGAGGAATAGTATGTAAATAGTGAAGTATAGTGCGTGTATAGTGGAGTTTAGTAAGGGTATAATGATTAATGGTGTATATTTAGTGAATACAATGTGTGTAAATTAAAGTTTGGTGTGTATTATGAAGCATACTGTGTTTACAATGAATATAGTGTATAAAGTATGGCGTGTATATTGAAGTATAGTGCGTGTATAGTGAAGTATGTGTGTATTGTGGAGTATAGTGTTTGTATAATGAGGTATATATAGTGTGTTTAATAAGGCATAGTGCGTGTACAGTGAAGTATGATGTGTGCATGGGATCATAGTGTGTTTATAGTGATGTATAGCGTATGTATAGTGAATATAGTGGATGTATATTAGTGTATGTATGTCTAGTGAAATATATTTTTACTATCCTTAGCATAATATGTTAATAATAAATAATATTGTGCGTTTGGTGAATATAGTGAGTGTTTAGATGAGAATAGTGTAATATATTGTGTATATTGTGGAGTATAAAGTGTATAGTGAAGTATAGCGTGAATATATATGTACAGTGTATGTGTGTGTGTGTGTGTGTGTGTGTGTGTGTGTGTGTGTGTGTGTGTGTGTGTGTGTGTTTGCCTGCGCGCGCGTGTGTGGGTGTTACGTTTCAATGGCTCTACACTACATCAATGGATCATCTTTTGTTAATTTTGCATATATTATTATTTAGTGGGTGGAGAAGGTGTGAGACTCCACCAATCTGTTAACATGATAACCTCCACCAAGCTGGACCTCCACCAAACTGGACCTCCACCAAACTGGACCTCCACCAAGCTGGACCTCCACCAAGCTGGACCTCCATCAAGCTGGACCTCCACCAAGCTGGACCTCCACCAAGCTGGACCTCCACCAAGCTGGACCTCCACCAAGCTGGACCTCCACCAAGCTGGACCTCCATCAAGCTGGACCTCCACCAAGCTGGACCTCCATCAAGCTGGACCTCCATCAAGCTGGACCTCCACCAAGCTGGACCTCCATCAAGCTGGACCTCCACCAAGCTGGACCTCCACCAAGCTGGACCTCCATCAAGCTGGACCTCCACCAAGCTGGACCTCCACCAAACTGGACCTCCACCAAGCTGGACCTCCACCAAGCTGGACCTCCACCAAGCTGGACCTCCACCAAACTGGACCTCCACCAAGCTGGACCTCCACCAAGCTGGACCTCCACCAAACTACCACCACATTAACCTCCACTATTTGAGTTTTGTATATAAATTTATATGTACTATGCATATTTTTTGCTTATGTACATTCAAAGTCGAAAGGTTGGCAGCGTTGCTGGAGGCTTAGCACAAAATATGCAAATGAAACGATGAATCTATTTTTGTAATTAGCATTCAAGAAATACTTTATATGCATTTGTTCCTTACGAAAATTTCTGTAATTCTGATGTGGGAAATTGGAAGAACGAAGAGGAAAAAAATAGAGAACGATGAGAAAAGTTGAAAAAAAACGACGATAAAAATTGAAATAACAATGAAAGAAATTGAAAGGACTATGAAAGAAATGGAAAACTCTGTCAGAAATTAAAAGCAAGATGATGGAAGTTAAAAACAAAACACACACACAAAAAAAACATGAAACTAATACATGAATGCAACATGATTTGAAACTTGATAATTCTTGTTGTTTATGTCATAAAAAGCAAGAATATACACGTGTGAATATTCAAACAACATAAACTTTATGTTTTTTGAATATACACGTGAATGATACAACTATAAATGAAAAAAAAAACGAGACTCTATTTAATGTCAAATCACATATACTTTTTGAAAGACAAATGATACCCAATTTCGAGTTAATGAGTTACACACCTGCACTCAGGCAGGAGTGACGATGGAGAACGCTAGAGTGCAAAGCCTGTGAGTACAATGCAATGTCGTGCAAGGCGCGGGGGTTCGCCTGGGTATAATTACCTTGGTGTTGCCTCACTGTAACCCGATTCACCCAAGCCAATTAGGGCTCGGGGCTTTGACTTGCCGACTCCGGCCCCAGCAGAGATGATTCCCAGCACGTCCAGTGAGACAACCAAGAGTATATCGCTCGAGAAGGAAAAAAATATATTTAACGAGATTAAATGTTCTCAGGTACAGGAGACGCATTGTTTGGGGGTCTACGTGTTCGTTCCTCTCACGTGAGGTAGGAAAAGGAGAAATATTCGTCTAGAGGGAAAGAGAAAGGGAGTAGAAGATAGAGAGGGGTGCAAAGGGTGAGGAAAGGAGAGTGTGAAAAGACTGAAAGGAGGAATTAGTGGGTTAGTTTCTAACCTAATTGATGGACCTTAATGTTCAGGGCCCAGTTTTGGCCCCTTCTTTCCCACGTTTTCATATGTCGGTCGTCTAATTGCTAAGACGTTCGACCCCATTTTTTTTCCTTGTCATATTTGTTATTTTTAAAACTATGGATGGAGTTAGCTTCTACTATGTACCCACCTGCTCTCTTCCAATTTTATTTCATGTAGCTTAAACGCCGCAATTCTGGGAAAAGTCTTGTAACACACTGTATACTCTCGCCTTTGTTTCAGGCTTCTTAAAAATGTTGTCTACACATTGAGCCTTTCTGCTCAAGCAGCTCCGTTCAGACTTATTCAGAATATAACATTCTGATATGTTCCAAATTTTGATTCATGAAGGCTGTCCAGACTTGGCCTGTTATATCATGTGTGTTATAATTTCTCTAATATTTGTATGCAGCTAATGTGATCCTATTTACGTGTACCTATGGTGTTAGGTGTCTATTCTCTGATCCTTTTCTCACACTGGCCGTGCTAAGCTTCTTCATTTGATTAGGAATTATTCCATTTACATCTTTCCTGCTGTTCCCATCCTCGTGACCTCATAATTATCTGTGTTGAATCATTTATCTGACCTTGCTTGGATAGCACTCAAGTGTTCCTGCAGACTTACGCAGCCAGAGCTCTTCTTGGCGTTTCTCATCATCATTAAACCTTTATCAGCAAACAGCGATACAAAGGAGTTAAGTTCATTGGTTTGATAACATATTTATGCTTGGAATAGCCTGGGGGTCCTTATATAAATAATATTTTCCCAATTCGAATTTCCTCTCTTACCGTTTTCTATTTGTTAGGAAGCTTCCTCATATAAGATAATACTCTGCCAGTTACTCCAGCTTGGTTCTTTAGCTGGGGGGAAGATTGCATTAGATCCGATAATGTTAGACAGCACCATATGATTTATGGTAGTCTTATAGAAGGCAGTACACCCACCCATCACTATTTTGAGTGGTCGTCATTCTAGAATAGAACTCCAATAGGTCTGCCAGGCATGATGTCTCTCTGAATCCGTGCTTTGTTCTAAAGTTTAAATTCTCAAGGTGTTTTCCATTGAGCTTTGTTCTCTTTGTTCTTGTTCTCATAGTATCATGCAGCTGTCAGTTTATGCGTTCTACATTTATTGAGCACTTTGGTCCTGTTCCCAGTGTGTGCTCACCTTGATGTACTCACCTAGATGTGCTTGCCGGGGGGGGGGGAATTGAGGTTTGGCTCCGTGAGGAACGGTGTTGGTTTAGGAGCGAATTTTAAGAGATACAAATGGTGAGTAGTGAAGATATGACCTTTGCTCTTCACCACTGGCCAGCCCCGGATACCTCAGCTAGTCGGAAACCTTTTATGTGATCAGTGAAGCAGATGAGATCAGATCATAGTTGTGCAAGACACTGGCAGTGACATGTAAAAGGACACACACTTGCAAGATGTGAGTAGTTGCTGCAGAAAATCGAGAGCTATGAGTCCAAAAGCGATAAATAGGTAAGCAAAGCACACACACACACACACATACACACACACACACACACCTACACACACACACACACACACACACACACACACACACACACACACACACACACACACACACACACACACACACACACACACACACACACACACACACACACACACACACACACACACACACACACACACACACACACACACATACCATAACAATGCCCAAATGGTTAGTAACTATGCACTCCAGTCAAGCTTCTGTATACCTCAGCTTGAGCTCCTCACGAGTACATCTAACTGAGTATGTATAGGTGAGTACACACGAACTCACGGCAAGATGGGTACAGGGTTAACAAGGGCATCTTCTCCTGTTACACATTATGGAAATTGGATTTAGAATCTATTAAACTCAGACATCGGCAAGGAATTTATGGATCCATTTACCCATGATCGCTCTGGTGACTTAATTAAAAACCCCGAACTGTTTGTCCAAGTTCAGAATCTAGAGAAAATTTGATCTCCCACTCATTTCAATATATGTTAATAACTATTTATTTCAGCTGTTGTGTCCTTCTGATAAACCTAAGTGACGTTTTCATTCTTCTCAAGGAATATATTAGCGAAACATTTCTCGTAATTAAATTTGCCGAACAAGAGAGAGAGAGAGTAATCTAATTTATGTGTAGCAAACCTTGCATACTTTATACTTTTGCCAGGTAGCTATGAATAAAATTAGTCTATTTTATGCAGGAAATATCAACTACCACTCGATTCTGAATAAAATTTGTAAAGGCGCCGGATTGGGAGAGCGTTAATTAATATCAGTTTTGCGAAGGTTTCATTGATCATGTCTATGGTGTCTCCTGCTGTTGTTTATATCCTGGTAGCACGCTATTAGCACAGTATCCTGGTGAGGCAGGTGGCTGGAGGTAGGAAGAGCGGCAGAACGTGGGTTTAGTGGAAGATCAATATTAGGGGGAAGTCGATGGTCTAGGAGATATGGTCAGTGGGTTGTGCAGGTGGGTTAGAAGGTGGGCCAGGGGGAATGGGAGGGTAGGTAGGTGGGCCAGGGGGAAAGGGAGGGTAGGTAGGTGGGTTAGAAGGTAGGCCAGGGGGAAAGGGAGGGTAGGTAGGTGGCTTTAGAGCTTAAGCTAGTGGGTAGAGGAGAGGATGCATCCTGAAGTTTGGAATGGTGTTAGATAAGATAACAGGCAGCTTGTTGCTGGTTGTACAATGAACAGAGTTGGGAGGTGGGATAGAAGGTGGGTACAGGCAGTGGGTGGAGAGACTGGACCGGTGGTTAGTGAAGAGGTTAGATAAGTGGTTACTGAGGAGGCTAGACAGGTGGTTAATAAGGATTGTAAAGCTGGAAGCCAAGTTTGTGTAGGATAGGGTGAAATAACTGACCAAGAGATGGGGCTAGACGTGGATAGTTTGGTCAGGAGGTATGGCTGACTGAGGAGACTTAGCTTAAACAAGCGGTTGGGTTGACTGCCAATAGTTAGGTTGGACAGGAGGTGGTTGTGGGTTGAGTTTGATGTCCAGGTGAGCTGATGAGCGAACACTGAACGGAAAGATCAGGAAGGTTAAGTTGTTGAGGAATTATGAACAGAAACCGGTTGGGTATTCCAGGAGAGGGGGGGGGGTAAAGTAGGCTAGAGAGGTAGGCCGGTGAAAGGCAAGATATTTATAAAGAGAAAACGCGAAGCAAGTGCCACTATGTAGCACTTGGAAGGGATCCGAGGGCAAGGCTTTAAGGATAGGACGGGGGAGAAGGAGTGGTACCCAACCACTTGGAGCATCGGGGATCGAACGCCGACCTGCAAGAAGCGAGGCCTCCATTCTAACGACGAGTCCAAGTGGATGAACTATAAGGACGATAGTTCAGCTGTGACTAGTGCTGACCCAAGTATCACGAGTGACAACCACAAATAACCTACGACAAACTTTTCTTTTCCCCCCGATGCCTTTTTGGCAAATAATGCATTGCAATACAAAAATAATAACCAAAAGCCCTATTTTGTGGCAGACACTATTGTGATATCACTTATTATCCACCAATTTAAATTCTAAAGTAGCCTAAATGTTCCCGCATGTAATCTCAGATAACAAACCCGTAGCTAGCAGAAGTAACATACAGGCAAAATACCACGGGAGTGGCACATTCCTTGGCAAACATGTTAAACACAGACTAATAACCACATTCTTCCGAACTCATTCGCAATTACAAAAAAGCTTATATGTATGCATATTCCAAGCGTTGGCAATTCACCTCCCTTGTTATTATATCAGAGGTAAAGCAGAGACACGACCCACGCTAATTATAAAGGCACATATATGGTGCTGTAAGTACTGTAACCTCTATGTTCAAATTAACTTCACATTGCTGCGCTCAACAGGCTACAACGATTTATTTAATCTGAGCTTAGTAAAGCTAAAACTAAAACGAG